CTAGAACCATAAATCTATACTGCCTGAATGTCCTCCCGAAATGTGCCCAGCCCCTAACGTTCCCCTAGGTTCTAAGCTGCCCACAGCGTCGTCTTCTCTCTCCTCCACCCTCTTCTTCGTCCTGGTTCCCCGCTGGGAACAACTCCCATCCCCTGGCTCCTCACCCTCACCCACAACCCAGCAGTGCCCAGTCCCTCGGGGTCCTCTCTGCCCGCTGGTCCTACCCCATCCATCTCTCCCCGTCCCTCCCCTTGCTCACAACCCTCCGTGGCTCCCTGTCACTCTGGGAAGACTAAGTTCCCAGCCTGGCCTTGGACACGCTGAGAACGGCCCCGCCCACTCACCCCAGCTTCTTCTACGCTCCTTGGCTCCCGGCCCCTACCGCTCTAGTCAGACTTGACTGCTTTGTTGTCCTCCGGAATCACCTTGGTTTCCTGCCTTTGGGCCTTTGCTTAAGCTGTGCCCTGGGCCTGGAACGCCCTTACTGCTGCCCCTCTCAACAATTCAGGTCTAACTTCTGGTTCTCGGAGGTCACGCCACAACCACGCCTTCTCTGGAGGTCCCCCCTGGTGGACCTGCCGCGAGGATTCCTTCCGCCCCGGCTCTCTCAGCCTCTGGTCTCGCCCTCGGTCACACCCCATCACCCCGGAATGGGACTGTCTGCGGCTGGGTCTGTCTCTCCCATCGCACCGTGAGCTCCCGCTGCAAGGGCACGTTTGGGTCTGATTCACCTTCGAGTCCCCAGTGGGGGGCGGGGGTGCCGAACCTCAGCGAGGGGAGGGAGGCTGGGAGAGCCGAGAGGGAGCGGGAACTGCAGACCCTGCCTGGGGAAGGAGGAGGCCGGAGAAGGGGAGGACGGAGCCCCGGGAGCAGGCAGGGGACACACAGGGAGGGGGACCGGCGGAGAGAGAGAGTAAGACGCGAAGACCCGTCGCCCCAGCGCGGAGGACGAAGACACGCCGGCAGTGGAAGGACAGACGTACCGAGACAGGAGCGAGGAGGAAAGAAAGAATGACACAATGACACGAGCGGAGGGAGAGGCACGGGAGAGCGCGCAGGGCCAGGAGGGAGGCTGGCGAGAAGAGGGAGGAGGCCGGAGAAGGGAAGGAGGAGAGGCGGAGGGGACCGAGGGAAAGCCGCCGCGAGAGGACGGGGACTGGCCAGGGAGGAGGGAGGGAGCAGTGGGCGCGCCGGCCGCCCGCCGCCTCCCGGCCTCTCTTTTGTCCCTTCCCTCCTCCCTGCGTCATGCTCCCCTGGCCCGGCCTCCCCTCCCCGCTCCCTCCTCCGCCCCGCTCCTCCTCCCCGGGGCTGGATGGAATTTTTTCCCCTGGACCGGGGCCAGCTCCGGGGCAGGGGGGAAGCCAGGCCGGACTGGGCTGGGCAGCGGGGAGGGGCCGGGCGGGGGCCCCCCGGGGAGGGGGCTGGTCCGAACCGCGCCGCCCAGCGGGGTCCTGGGAGGGGAGCCCCGGACCGCAGAGCCGGGAGGCGCCGGCCGGAGGGAGCGGGGACCGGGAGGAGGATGGCGGGGCGGCGGGAGGAAGGGGAGAGGCCGCGGGCGGCGGAGGCGGGAGAGGATGGAGAGGACTCGCGGCGGCGGCCGGCCTCCCGCCGGGCCTGGGGCTAGTGGAGGAGACCCCTTCCCCCGACGCGGGAGCCGCGGGAGCCGTGAGTCTGCGGAACCAGAGGGGGATGGGGCTTGGGCCGGACTCCAGGGTCCCCAAGGGAGGAGGCTGCGGGGCCTGGATTTCTGGGTTCTTGGGGCTGGGGGGCTGGGAATCACTGAAAGAGGGGGCTAGGGACCTGAATTCCGGGGTCCAGAGGCTGCAAAAGCTGGGAACATCTCCTAGATTCAAGAGGGAGGAGAGAGGTGGGCTGGGATAGGTAGGATCGGAGGGTGGAAGGGACTGAGGGACCGCTGGGGAGGTGGAGGAAGACAGTCTGGCGTTGGAGGTGCCTCCGGCAGCGGAACGGTTAACGTCTGGCTGCAGGGGAGGGGGAGGGGGAGGGATGGGGCTGCGGGGCTTTGAGGGGTCAAGGGTGAGCCGTGCAAGTGGGAGGGGGCTGAGGAGGAGGGGGAGGTTGTCTGGGCTGCCAGACAGGCCCGGGTCAGCGCCGGGGGCAGGGGATGTCTGGCGGAGGAGAGGCCCAGCGTCCAGGCTCCCTTGGGGACCCGGGATTCCAGGCCTCAGCCCCCTCCTCCCTCAGACCTGGGAGTCCACCACCCTGCCCCTTCCCGAATTACAGAATCCGAACCCTTAGCCAACGCTTCCCAGGACCCAGGAGTCCACCCCCACTCCGCCTTCTGCGCTCAGACCTAGGAGTCCACACCGTAACCCCCACCCACTTTGGAAACCCTAGTTCAGAACCCCAGCCCCTCCTCCCTAGGAACGGACCCCAAACCCCTCCTCCTCTAGAACCCAGAGTCCAGATCCCCAGGATCTAGCAGCCGGGATTCGGGTAGGGGGTGTGGGGGTCCTGCCCCGGAACCCAGGGGTCCCCACCTCCTCCCTCGCCCCAGCTGGAGTCCAGCCCTCCAGGGGTTAAGGGGGCGGGGCCATCCGGTTGCTATGGTGCCAGACTGTTTGGGTCTGCTCTCTGACCCTTGGGGGCTCCCCAGGGTCCGCGAAGAGGGGGAGGGGACCCAGGCCTGGGGATGTACAGTGCCGACCCCTTCCCCGAGCGGGCCTGCGGACCTAGGGAGCTCCTCTACGCCTCGCCCGGTGACCTTGAACGAGCCCTGACCCTTGTCCCCGGGCCTCAGTTTCCCGGGAGAGCCCGGCGGGGAGTGGGGGCGATGCCCGGGTCCCAGGAATCTCTGGGACGCGCTTCCCGGCTCCCCTCACCCCCTCCCCAGGCCCCAGGCAGCCCCGGGGCATGCCGGGAGCCGGCCGGGCGGCGGGCCAGGTTGGCTGGGGGGGCGCCTCCCTTCCCCTTCCTCCCCACCTTGGCCTGACTCTCGCCCCCGCGGAGGGTCGGGGAGGCCGGGAAGGAGGGAAGGGGGAAGGAGCCGGACCGCAGGCCGCCCCCGCCTCCCTTCCTCCTCCGCCCCTTCCCGCCCTCCGCCCTCCTCGGCAGGTCGCTCCCCAGCCCGGGCCCCTTCCCACCCCCACCCCACCCCCAGCTCCAGACCTGGCTCCGAGCGCGAGGGGGAGGGAGGGAGGGAAGGAGAAAGAGAGGGGAGACGAGGGGAGGGGGAGGGGGAGGGGAGGAGAAAGGGGGAGAGGGCCGGGCCGGGGAGGAGGCCGGCGAGAGGGCGCGAGGGAGGCCGAAATGGTGGGGAAGGCGCCGAGGGTCGCGGAGAAGGAGACAAAGCCGGGAAGGGAAGGAGGATGAAGGACAGCAGAAGGGGCAGGGAAGGAATGGAGGGGAGGGAGGGGAGAAGCCCGGAGGGGCGAGGCAGACCGGGACCCAGGAGCCCCGCAGCGGAGGGGTGAGCCCAGAGCCAGGTAAGGTACAGCTGAGCCGGCGGGGATGGGAAGGGGCAGGTAGGAGAGGGACAGGACGAGGGACAGGGCTGAGGAGAGTGAGCTGCGGGGCCCGGTGAGACGCGAGGCCCGTGGCTGAGGTCCAGTGGGGAGGGTGGGTGTGGGCTGCCAGGGCCCCTCCCACCTGCAGCCGGCAGACCTTGGCTGGGTCTCTTCCTCCCTCGGGCTCAGCCTCCTCCGGCTCACCTGCAAAAATGGGAGAGAGCTAGCACCTCCTTCCCTGGGCTGGGAGGTGGCCCAGAAGACTGGGCTGTGCAGAGTCAGGGGTTGGGGGTCATGCTGTCATCACTGTGAATGCCAAGAGGTCAGGAGGAGGAGGAGGTCCGGGATGAAATGCCCAGGTTGAAGGTTTCCTCTCCCCAGCCCTGGAGTCCAGGCAGCCTGTCTGGGAGGGAGAGAGCAGAGATGGCCAAGAGCCAAATTCCCAGACTGGTGAAGTTCTGTCCCACTGGTACCTGGGAAGCCAGGGACTGGTACCTGGCCACTTCTCTCAGGTTGTACCTCCCCTGGAGAGAAGTGGCCAGGTCCCTGGGTCTGAGGGAGGAGGCTGGGCCTGGGCCCCTGGAGAGAAGTGGCCAGGTCCCTGGGTCTGAGGGAGGAGGCTGGGGCTGGACCCTGGGTCTGAGGGAGGAGGCTGGGCCTGGACCCTGGGTCTGAGGGAGGAGGCTGGGCCTGGACCCTGGGTCTGAGGGAGGAGGTGGTTGGGCCCTAGACTCCTAGGTTTCTTGGGGAGGAGGGGGCCGGGGGCCCGGACTCCTGGGTCCTGGCACCCACCCGTAGAACCGACCTTGCGGGGCCTTCGCCGCACACAAGCTCGTGTCTGTGGGTCTGTGTCGGGGGCTCACCATCGCGGCTGGGACCTCCCGGCCCTCCCCACCCTCCCTGTCCCTCCTTGCCCATCTGTCCGGTCTGTCCACCTACCGCGCCCCCCGGGCTGAGGTAGGAGGTTGTATAGTTGAGGAGGACACCCACGGAGATCACTATACGGCCTCCTAGCTTTCCCCAGGCTGCGCCCTGCACAGGACGGGGCAGCAGGGACCCCAGGCCTGTACCACTGCCCTAGGGACCTTGGAAGGAGCTGGGCTGTCTGCTCTGTCCATGTCCCTGCACCTCGCCCCTTCAGTCTCTCCCACCAGGAGGTGGGTTGGTATCTCTCCCTGTCTCTGTTTGGTCTTCTTTCTGGCACTCAGTGTCCCTGTGTCTGTCTTCGTCTTTCCCCCACCCCCATCCTAGGGTCTATTGGGGGCCACCACACACTGCATTGCCAGCCTCTGGGTCCCTGAGACCCTTTAACCTGTGAGGACGTCCAGGGTCACAGGTGAGGTTCTTGGGAGCCTGGCGTCTGGACCAACTACAAACCTAGGGACTGTAGGCTGACCCCTGGAACCCTTCATGGGAGCCTGACATTTGACCACCAACTGAAACCCAACCTCTGTCCCCAGGCCACTGCCCCTCCCCCACTGCAGTGACCTCACAAAGGTCACCAGCTTCTCCTAGGCCTTGAGACCTTCCTAGATGGCCCCACTGTCCCTGGTGAGCGCTGTCCCGTCTGCCCTGCTGGCCCTGCTGGTCCTCAGGGCATCCACCTGGGCCTGTCTCCTCTGCTTCACATCCTATGCTGAGCGCTTCCGCCTCTGCAAGATGTGGGCCCGGGGCCCCCAGGTGGAGCAGTGCCAGGAGGCCTTCACGGCTGCCTTCAAGGTCCTCTCCAACGTGGAGATCAGTAAGGACTCCACCCTGCCTGGACCAGGGCCCTGAGCAGGGGCTGGTGAGGCCGGGAGAAGGGCAGGGAGAGGGAGACACAGACACAGGCAGAGGGAGAAGTGCCCGCCCAGAGGGCCGCCACAGCACAGGAGAAGGGAGTGGATTGCTCAGAGAAGGGAGGCCACAGACCTGGAGAGGCAGGGGCGGGAGGACGGCCACCGAGGCAGTGATGGGGAGGGGCAGAGAAGGCAGAGGCTGGCGCCTGGTGCTGGTGGAGCTGCCTCCCAGCCCCGGCGTGTCCCTCACCCTCAGACTACTGGGAGAGAAGCCACCTGCAGGACGCCTTCACCCAGATGGCCCATTCCCTCCAGGAAGCAGCGGCCGCCCAGGGTGAGTGTCTTGTGGGATTGGCCCGAAGCCCCCAGACTGAGAGGGCTGGAGGGACCCCTGGAGTTGGGCAGTGGTCTGGGCGGGGTGAGCCCTGAACTTGAGTGGCTTAGGTTATTCTTTGGGGAGAGGGAAAAGTGCAAGTGCAAACCAGGCCACAGATGGCGACAAGGAGCCCAAGAGTGGTGTAGAAATCCCCCCCCCTTCCCCCGCGAGGTCTGCTGTATCACTCGCCTGGCCTCCGCTTACCCATCTGTAAAGTGGGACAGCCTCCTGCCTCCCAGGGTAGTCATGGAGACAGGACACACAGACATGTAGTCCTGACAGCCCATGCAGCAAGTCTGCAGCCGTGATGTATGAGGCTTATGGGGGGCAGGAAGACAGGTGGGGACAGCGGTGCCGATCATTCAGGTGATGGTCATGCAGAATGGCTCCTGCCAGCGTCGGGGTGGAAGCAATGCGTGTGGCTCCCCAGGAATGCACAGAGTCCTGTGCAGAGACAGCCTGCTGAGGACACAGGGTGGCCAAGAGGCAGTTTAGCAGCAGTCACACCTGGTCACCTTGCCCACACGGCCCGTGTTCCCCAAACGTGCCAGACAGTGGTGCCTGGTAGGGAGGGCGTGCTGGGGAGGCCACAGAGCCCTGTTGCCAGGATAAACTGCCTCCTCTGGGGTCTGGGAGCCCAGGGCTCGACTCTGCATCCCCAGGGTACCTCTGTTCCCACCAAGCTTTATGTCAGAGAAGCCGAAAAGAGGTTCCCGTCCATCCAGGGGCGTCCGGGGGCAGCCTGGAGAGGGTCTGCTGTGGATTCCCCACCCACCAAGGGAGCCCAGGAGTCAGAAGGAGCGGGAGCGGGATTCCCGGAAACGCCCTTTCCACGGGGCGGCCTATTGCAAAGGTTTTATGAAGACCGGGCACACGGGAGACCTCTCTAGGCCTCGTGTGGGACTTACCTGGAGTGGAGTGCGTGGCTCTGGGGTGAGGGCCAGGCCAGCGGGGAGGAGGCCTGAGCAGAAGGGGACTCCGAGTGGGCCATCGGACTGGCTGCGTGGGGAGGGGGAGGCCGAGTTGAGGACAGTGCCTGGGGTTCCGCTCCATGCCTGGGTGGACTGGGGTCACTCCTGAGATGAGGGGCGTGGGAACACGAGCTGGGGTGGGGACAGTCATGGGCCGTTAGGAAGGACATAATGACTTAGGGGGACATCCAGGAGGCAGCAAGATACCCAGATGCCAGGTTCAGGAGAGGACTCAGGAGACAAAGACTGCCCTGGGGGAGCTGGGGACCTGGGACGACCAGGTCGGGTGAAGAGGGTCGACTCTGATGTAGCAAGGACCTCCAGGGCCCTGTGGAGGACAGACCGGGGGAGAGGCTGGAGGCTGGGACAGGCGGTACAGTACGTCAATTGGCGGTTACTGAATGTGCCCGGAATACCACTGGGGACACAGCCAAGCCCCAAACTGCCCACCACCTGCCCTCGGTTGCTTACTGTTGAGGGTCAGAGCACAGACAGTCAATGAAATAATGTCAGTAGGTGATCTGTGCTGTGGAGGCAATCGGAGAAGGGAATGCAGAGACTGTGTAAGATGTGGGTTGGTCAGAGTGGGTGCAGATGAGAGGATCCAGTGGAGCAAAGATGGGATGAGGTTGAGTGAGAGCCAGAAGACCTGGAGAAATAGTCTCAGGAGGAGAAAACAGGGCCAGTGGGTCTGGAGTACAGCTGAGCCTGGAGAGGTGGCAAGCGACTAGGTGGTATCAGTCCACGCAGACCAGTGGTCCTCAAGCCCTAGTAGATGTCGGAACCTCTCGGAGTTGTTACAAGGCAGGTTGCTGGGCCTGCCCTCTGTTTCTGACCAGCAGGTCTGAGGTAGGACCCAAGAATAGACATTTTTACCAAGTTCACAAGTGCTGCTGATTCTGGCTTGGACTCACCGAGGAGGCCTGTGTGGGCCGGGGAATGGCCTGGTCTTCTGTTTTAAGGTGGGGAGCTATGGCAGGATGCTACCCAGAGACACAGGACTCCCTCTGGCAGCCATGTGGGACACAGCGAGAGGTCTGCCAGTGGTGGCCTGCCAGTGGCAGTGGTCCAGGCCGGCCAAGATGAGGTCTGGGACTCATCGGGTGGGGCAGGAGGAAGGCCAGGGAGGGCTTGACCTGGCGCCAGGCCTGCCCCGCGCATGTGCATGGGAAAGGAGTGTGTCCGCCCTGTGGCCTGTGCTAATTACCGCCCTAAAATGCATCCTTGTACCAGCTCCGGGAGGTGCGGCATCACCGCCCCACTTTCCAGAGGGGCAAGCTGGGGCTCCGCTGGACAGGAAGGGCAGACTCAGATGTCTGGAGATGGACAGGTCCAGAGGCATGTGGTTGCGGGGAACAGGAAGAACAGATGACTCCCCAGGGAGGACCGGAGAGATGGATGGCGGGACTAGTGCTGCTCTTAGTGGCCACTGGGAGACCGCTCCTGTGTATGCACCGTGGGGTGGATAGTGGGGCAGGGTTGGCGTCCTTCACCCCCAGATCTGAAATCTGACGTGCTCCAAAACTGAAACTTTGAACACCAACTTGACTGCACACCTGATCTCACATGACATGTGCACTCAAAATGCTGCATATCAGGTGTGCATGAAGCCCAAGCGGGGCGCCATGCAGAGACTCGCGCCCCCTCTCTGACATCTCTCTTATGTACAAGCAACTATTCCAAAATTTATAAAACTCTAGAAATCGGAACACTTCTGGTCTCAGCACTTGGATGAGAAATGCTCAACCGTGGGGAAAGAGGACAGTCATAGGTCACACGAACGAGTGGGTGGAGAGGCCTGCAGGGCTCAAGGTGGCCGTGTAACCCTGGACCACTTCCCTGACTTCTTCAGGTCTTGCCTTTCCATCTCAGATTGGGAGGTGGTGACAATACTAGCTGCCCTCCTGTGTGTCCCCCGGGTGCCCTCTGCATGTCCTTCTGAGGGCTGATAGACACTACCTCAGGCTGGCGTTAAGTGGTGCCACTAGACAGCTTAGATATCCTGGGGCACTTAGCCCCCTCCCTGCCCTGGGAGGCAGACACTGTGTCCACCTTATGAAGGAGGAGACTCAGGGTCAGGAAGTTAAGTGGCTGACCAGGGTCGCCCAGGGAATCCCTTGGGTGTGAGACAGGTGCTCTCAGACATGCCAGGGCTCAACCCCAGGTGATGTGAGCCAGAGATGGAGCACCTCCCTCTGGCCACTCCCTGGGGGACACTTCCCAACACCCCCACCCTCTCTGGGTCACACCCCTGCCTCCCCGGCTCACTGGGCTGTCCCCCACTCACTCTCCTTGTGAGTCACTGGTTCGACCCGTAGATAGCTCACGGTGATTCCTCCAATTCCTGGCCTCTCAGGAGCGTCCCATGTGACCTCATCGTGTTGGTCACCCTGCCATTGCAGACCACACTCCTGTTCTGTGGCCAAGCAAAGACCTCTAAGTCCCCGACTTCTCATTTGGAACCCACTCCTTGGCTTCAGTGGTACCCCTCTGAGTGTGCACCCGATGATCACGGCTTAAGCCACTTTCCTGCCAATATCCTCACTGAGTCACAGAGGAACCTTTCCTCCTTCCCCACCATGGCTTAAGCAAACTAGAAGTTTATTTTTCTCACATGAAATAAGTCTGAGTTAGGCTCTTAGGGCGAGCTCCAGTTTCATGGGGAACTAAGTTCTTTCCAGCTTTCCGCTCTATCATCACCTTGGTCCTCATGGTCCTGTGTGGCTACTGGAGCTCCAGTCATCAAAACCAAGTTTCAGGTAGCAGAATGGAGGCAGCGGAAGGAATCAGTAGTGTGACAGTACCTCCCTTTTAAGGCTGTGACTCACATGACACTGTCACTTATATCTAACAGCCACAACTTGATCATATGACCACAGCCTTTTAGCTAGATGGGGAAGGGGAGTGCTTTCCCAGGTGAAACCCAGCATTCTGTTATTAGAGGGAAGAATTAGGTGTTTGGAGGCAGCGTACAGTGCTTGTGGCTGGCTTGCTAGGGCTGCTGAGACAGGCGCCGGGGCGGACGGGCCGCTTAGACGACATTCATGTCTTCACAGTGTTGGGGGCTAGAAGTTGGAGGTGAAGGTGTGGCTGTTCTGAGGGCTCCCATGGCTGTCTTCTCCCGGGTGCATGTGGCCTTCCCTCCTGAGGGTTTGCATCCCACTCCTCTTCTTTACAAGGACACCAACCATTCTGGACTGGGGACCACCCTAATGACCTCACTTGAACTCTGTCACCTCTCTGGATGCTCTCCAAATACAGTCACTTCTGAGACACTGGGGACAAGGACCTCAACACATGAATTTGGGGAAGGGGAGGGTACATTCCATCCCATAGCATCCTGCCACATTTCTGATCCCAAACCACCACCACCGTGAGATCAATCCAGCCATCCAGGCTCTCTGCAGAGGTCCAGCAGAAAGAGCCACAACCCAGCAGCCTGGACATGGCAATGGTCAAACCCCATTGAGCACCAGGGAGCAAGGCAGTAAGAGTGGAGGAGGGGTAGATCCCAACAGGGCCTGGGCTGGGGACAAGCAGGGATGGGCCTCTTAAGGCGGGGGGGGGGGGGGGGGCACGAAGCTCCAGCCCATCACTGCCTCGTGGAGATGCAGCCTCTGCATTTCAGCCTTTCCAAAATTTTTAAACGCAATGCCAAATATTTTATGTGACTTTTCCAAATTTTATATCTTGGCAACCAGTTCATTTAAAAAAAAACACTTTCCAGGCCAAATATAACACATCCGAGGGTGGATCTGGGCCATAGGCCATTGCCTGTGGGCTCCAATTCCAGCTGGATTCTGGAGTTCATTGTACACATATTTATTGAGCTCTTTTTAAGACTCAGGGCCCGCCCCCCATCTAAACAAGGACATATTACTAAGATAGATACTTCGATGATCAGCATAGACCTCTGTATATGCGTGTGTGTGTGTGCGTGCGCGGGTGTGAGAGAGAGACTGCAAACTGATGAAAACTATGCATGGAATGAATGGGGAGCTATGACAGATAATAATAGGGAACTCAAGAAGACTATAGATTTATGATTGTGGAAAAAATCGTAGGGAGGTGACCCTTGAGGTGTAAACACTGGAGAATAATCATTGGGGAAGATGTGCTGGAATCAGAAGCCAGCTTGTGCAAAGTCCCTGGGGTGCTAGGAATGTGGTTCTTTTCATGTGAAAGAAAAGAGGAAGACAGAACTCGGCCAGACCACCTAGGACCTTGTAGGCCTGGGTGAGGATTTTGTCATTATTTTCCCTTTTCTCTCAACAAGGTAAGGGCAAATATTTCAGGACAGGGTTTCTGTCTGAGAGAGAGAGACTCCCAGGAGGCACAAGGAGGGACTTGCCAGGCTTCCCAGTAGACAGATGAAGAAGGCAGGAAGACAGGTGTAGTAGTAACAGATGAGTGCAGAAAGGACACGGCACGACAGCGAGCCCTGTTGAGTGGGTCAGAGGAAAAGGCCGCCTCTACAAGGGCCCCTCCACCCTCCAGGGTCCTTTGAGGACGCCTTTCCTGCTGCTGCAGAAGAAATGAAAAAGGCCATTCTACAGCTTAAAGAAGGTAAAATAGATTCCAGCCTCCTCCCGGCCCCAGATACACACAGCTGGAAAACCCCACTCCTGAAAACCCTGACCACTCGGTACAATCCCCTGGTGGACTCTGAGCTGGAGCCCTTGGTAGGCAGCTGTCCATCCCGCCTGCACCACTCTGCATCTGGCCCTGCCCCTTGGACTGCAGGTGTCCTTCCAGTTCCATCAGTCTTAGCACGGTGCGGACCAGACTTGTCCAGGCCTCTTCGTGGATCTCAGCGTGTCCCCAACCCCTTGCCTGCCCTCTGAAAGATTCCCTCTCCAACTGGATCTCCTTAGTGGACTAGATTGGCCTTACCTCTTTAACTCGGCCTCCTAATAATTAGGTCTTGGCTTCTCCAAGGATCGCCAAGCATCTAGTCCTGCTCCCCCTGTGGAATACACTTATGATGTCCCCTCACTCCTCCGGGCACAGGTGTGATAGATGTCCCCTCTATCCTGAACAGGCCTAAGTCTGACTTCTTCACGGGGCCCTGAGGACGTGGCCCCGCCCCTAGGTGGAGCATTGAGGGCCTAGCCTCGCCCCTTGGGTGGCGCTCTGAGGACCTGGGCCCGCTCCTGGGTGGGGCATTGCAGATCTAGGCTGGGGGAGTGCCCCAGGCCTGGCTCCGCCCCTTGAGGGAAGGTGTCCGGCCTGGTGCCACCCTCCAGCGGAACTTTAGATTGAGTCCCTCCAGCGATTTCTCGGGTAGTAATGCGTCCCCTCTCTCCGCAGTTCAGCCCTGCGTCCCTCCCTGCGGTAAGGTCTTAAATACAAATAGGATCGCGGAGAACAGGGGCGGTCGGGTCGAAATCTGGGAGTTAAGGTGGCAGGGCATGGGTGGGCTTCAGACCCGAAGGAAGCCAATAAGAACCCTGGAGAGAAGTCAGCCAGGTTGCTTTAAAAGCTCAAAGAAGACGGTTCCGGGGTCCCCAAGTAAACCAACGGGAGGTCTAGAGGGTGGCCAGGAGTGAGAAGCACCTCAGGAATGACGCGGGGAAGGCGGGTCACCTTCCACCTGGCCCAGAGGACCCAGGGAGCCCACAGTTGCCAAAAGAAGAGTAGATCCTGCGTCCTCGCCCCACAGGGGTCCAGGAGGTCGCCCGGCGTTTCTTTTGCAACAAGTGCTTCTCCAGTCTCTGCAAACTTCCGCTGGACTGTCCAGGTGAGGGGCGGGGCCTGAGGTGCCAGGACCACCACTGGAGAAAAGGGGCTGTTGTGAGGAAGGGAAGGGGCCCAGGGCACCCGTGGCGGCCCGCGGGAGCGCCCCTTGGTCTTCAGTTCAGGACGTGACGGTGAATCGGGGGGAGCAGGCTATGTTCTCTTGTGTCGTGGGCTTCCAGCTGCCGCCCGAGGAGGTCACCTATACCTGGAAGTTCGCTGCGGGAGGTGTGAGTCGGGGCGGGATCCGAAGGGTCTGGGGAGCAGCTGGTGGGGCGCTCGCGGGGCTGCCCCGCGAGCTGCGACCTGGGCGTGGCCGGAGGCGGGGCCTGGCGCGGTGCGGGGCTTGGGAGCAGGGAGGGGACGACGTGGCTCAGGTGCGCCCCGCCGCCCCCGGCAGATGCGCACTCGGGACGTGTCCTACTTCCGAGAAGTGCCCCAGGCCCGAGGGTACCTGGCGCGGATCCGGCCAGTGCAGCCCAAGCACCGCGGCACCTTCTCCTGCGTGATCAAGCACGACCAGCGCCCCCTGGCGCGCCTCTACTTCTTCCTGAACGGTGCG